ACCACCATTGCTAATAGCAGGTGCTTCTCCATATCAGCTGGATCCAAATCTGGGTTGGAGGCACGTCTTTGAGGATCCTTTTCGAGTTTCATCTTTGATTCTGTCCAGGATGTCTGAAAATATCACAGGATACAACAATGAATGAACAATCCGTTCCCATCAGATCAGAGGAGAGGCCAGTGTGATTTTGAAATAGATGAGAAAACTAGAAATTACAACCGAGCTAATGTATCAACGCATGTTTGACACATTTCAACAGTGTTACTTTTATTACTTTTGACAGAGAATAATCATGTTACCTCAGCGTCTCTGATTGTTTCCACGAGCAAAGCTTGATAGGAGGAAATTGCCTCCTTCCTCCTAACCTTTAGCCGCACTCTTTGTCGACAGTTTTCCTTTTCCTCAATTCCCTCTCCCTTTCTTTCAGTTTATCCTGATTCCTCAAATGGATGTCGGTTTTTCAAATCTCACTAAACAAAAATGTATTTATTGTTTCCCACATTCAAGATAGCTAAACATCTCATAATTTTTATGTTGCCTTTGACAAACACAAACCACAAACTAAAGTCACCAACTTTCATAAATAAAGACACCTACAAGAACTTTCAATTATTGCTTTGTTTGTTAGTTTCTTCCTCCATATCCCATATAACAAGCACATATCAGACACAAGAGCTTGCAACTTGCAAGCATGGAATGCAAATGTATTTGTACTCAACCAAGTAGCGGTATGGGTCGGGAAAATGAACAAAGAAGATAATTTACCTCTTCGTCTCTTGTTCTCGTTGAACCATCACTCTCCCCTTTCGCAGCTTTCAGCTCTGCCAAGAACTCATTAAACAAAACTTCCCTATCCTCGTGTGCGACAGATCTATATCTTGGATCATTTCTCAAGCTATCCTTAACCTTAAAAATAGGGAAATAATTACACAAAAAAATATTTATAATTAGTACATCGAACCTCGTGAAGCATGTATATAAGAAAACTCATATTTATTTCATTGGAATAAGGTACTCAAAATGAATAGGCTCCACAAAATAAAATACGAAAAGAGAAACACAGTACATGTTTTCATTTCCTAGAGTGGCAGGTTTTCCTCTCATCACATACTGTATAGTTTAATACAGATATGTTAATAGCATAACATGGAAAATTCAGCAACCACTTCCTGCTTCGAATATGTCGGATAAGTCTCTCATGCGGTTTATTATAAAGTTAGACAGCAAATGTTTGTTCGGATAATCATTGAGCAAAGCCTCTTTTCTCGCTTGGCCCACAAAAGCATGATCAATATACACAGAAAGCCATCTTCAAATTATATATTGTCTGGAGAAAAAGAGTTACTTAGGTCTGAAATAACTCAATAAGGTAACATCTAACAAAGTGTACAAAATTGTAAACAGGGCAACATCTAGGGGTTTTAGTTGTGCGACCTTTCAAATATGGAAACTCATGGTCACATAACATTCACAAATAATACAAAGGGGATCCTAATCTTAAGAGCTGAGTGATACTGCATACACTCGTGCAATTAGTTTTTCATAGAGGCAATATAAATTCAAAACTTAATCCCGTGTACATATAAACAAAAAGACAGAAATCAGGTACATACCCTGGACCAATGGGAATTCGTTCTTACATCTCTTTCCCGTAGCATCGCCTTGAAATCAGCAGCAGCTGCTGAGCGTATTTCTTGAGCCTTTTGCTCAGCAGCCTTTTTCAAAGAAAGGACTCTGCAATAGAAACGGTGGAAATGTAAGCAGAACCAGGAATATCAATTCTGACGATAACAAAGTAACTATCAGATGAAAAAAAGAGACCCAAAGATATACAGAGAAAAATCCTAAAGAAGCAAATGAAAATCTTATAATTTTCCTAATTGCTTAATGTCAGGAAAACCGCTGCCCACAGAGCAGCTTATGCTGTAGCCAGGGTGCCACTAATTCTAAGTTAGTCAAGAGTAAAAACCACAAAAAAAAAATATAAATAGAGATAGAAACAGAATGTATAAACAATGTAATGAACTGCAATTTCTGAGTTTGATATTAATATACAAACGATTACGTTCAAATATAAAAATTACAGAAACGGCATTCATTTGCGGCTATTTGTCAATTTATAAGCATCTTCTGCTCTGTTTATCTTGTGACTACTCGGAAAATAGATCCATTGATTATGTATATTAATCCCACCACTATGCACATCATACGGACAAGTCCCTTCAGATAACGCAGATGTTAATATGCATTAGACACACATTACTGCAAAAAAAAAAAAAAAAATAACTGATGCAAGAACAGGGCAAAACTCGTTCTAGCCTTCCCAATCCACACAATCTGCCTTGAGTCATGTTTGCACCTAAGAGATAAGTAACACAGACAAATATGTTTTGTAGTAATGTCACTCTGTTTTATTAATAACCACAAATGACATGCTCAGCCAACAAGTAAAGCAAAATCTAATGGATTGATTGTCTTATACAGTTTTTTCTATATGATAATGGCTCAACATGGATGACATGCAAAAGTTAAAAATGAAAAGTTGAGAAAACCAATCACCTCTCAAGTAGTAGAGGGAATGAAAGAATGCCAAAGGTTAAGCTGTCAGAAGAACCAACAAGAAATACAAATACCTAGCCCAAGTGTATTTACTACGTAGAAAATAGAAAACACATCCAAGAGCACTTGGCAGATATAATCCAAAACGTATACCCGGAATATAACAAACTGTAACAACCAACAAACGATTAGCTTTGATAAAGACGTATATCACTTGCTACTACTTGCTAAACCAAAGAAACAAATTTGCAATCAACCTATAAAAGGATAGCATGGCACCCGTAACACACAAAACCACCTAGTTGACCGTCAAAGAAGAGAACATCTACAAATGCCTATTTGTGAGGCAATGATGAAACTAGAAATGACAAGACAAATCACATAGTAGGACCAACATAACTTAGATAAGTCCAAGTTACAATTTCAGCCATAAAAAACTAGCTTTTCGCTGGATGGTGTTCAGAGCCATCAACCGATCCCCATATTTACTCAATTTGAGATCACACTACACCATGCTTCAGGAGCCAGCGTATACAGCACTAATCCCAAGTATCACGCCCAAGGCCCACTCAAGCCAGTCGAAGAACTATCATGGTTATCCCTTTCCAAAATTGCTCCTTATTGTGGGCCTTCAGCTAGGGTTTGATCTAATAAAAATTATTAAACACTCAACCCTCAGTAGCTCATGAGTAGAGGGCTGCAACCAAGAAGCTAGCTCACAGTAAGAATGTCTATGGACGCAAAACCCAATAGTCAATGCGAGATGATAAAAGGAAACTATGTGGCCTTGACAGAGAGTCCAATGCAATAGGGAATAAAAACACACCCAATAAAAAAACTTATAAGCTCTATGAAAGATTTCCCTCATCCATAGATACCCGTTAGACAGGATGACAATCAGTACCTTTCATTGAACAAAGCCTCTGTCTCCTTCCTTTCCAATGCTTTGAACCGTGGATCGCTCTCCCAGTTCCTTTTAAATGTCCGATAATCAGTTTGTTGATCAATGTCCTGAAAAGAGGAACCCGATGACAATTACTCTCTAACTGTCAAGTTGAAGTTGAGAAAACCCGGAGATAAATGATATAAGGGTTTTAAAAATGTACTTTGGATGCTTCATCCAGCAACTTTTTGAATCCTTCTATTGCTGCCTTATGAGCAGCACGCTTTTCTCTGCGTTCTTCCTCCGCACGTGTCTTGACGTACTGCTCAAATAAGGATCGTCTAACAGAATGACTAGGTATTGCCTACACGCAAAAGGAACTTCTAATCAACATCAACATCAAATAAGCTTTTGCCACACCAATATGAAATTGAAAAAGTGGTACAAAATGATGGTGCAAAATGAAAGTTTGGCACAGCTTAAGCAGCAGTAAGACATAAGAGGTTTAAGAAACCTGTAACAAAGAATGAAGGGTGTGACAATCAGTGGCGATGATGGATATGGAAACAGACCCGAACACAAAATAGGGTCCAAAAACCCAAGACCATAGAATGCTCAAAATGTTAGTGATAACGCAAAGTATCACTATCATATGAAAACAAATAAAATACTAGTTCCAGGTGTCTAACCTTTCTTAGCCAATTTTAGAAGAAAAAAGAACATGTCTTTTGATACACAAAAATGGTTTGGTCCGCATAAAACTTCTAAAAGTAGAGAAGACAGGCCTGCTGCATAACAGAAATAAACAAATTGCAAACTTTGAAATGGATTCTAATAGTACAAAGAGTAATAGAAAGAAAACATATAGAAGTAGATGGGTAAAAGATACGAGACAATTATGGAAAAGAGGAAGGACCATCATACCGTAAATATCTTAGCCCAAAATTTGCACTCTAAACAAACAGATAAGAAATTTAGAGGTATATTTCTGCTCAATTTGACCAGCCAAAACAAATGTATGTCACAAGCCAGACAAATGCAAGTAACCTTGCACAGAAACGGAGAAGTTTGGGGCAATATCATGGTACAAAAATATAGATAGATATGACAATGGGCTTGAAATTAGAACAGACTAAATATTTTAATAAAATCCAATACCCTAGGAGCAAATACCTTAAAGCGGGGATCAAACACTATTTTTGGCAGCTCCTTCTCCCACTTCGAGAATGGTGCTACTCCTCGCTCCTTGAGCATTTCCTGAAAATATAACAAGGTAGCAACATGAGAGGAAAAATAAAGAATATTAGGTAAGTTAAAAAAACTAGAAAGATGCATAAGGTTAATTAAATCAAAGGCTCCCATTACTGAAATTGTCGACTCGAACTCGTCACCTCCATTAATGCAAGGAACAGAAAGTTACAACTCAACACAGATTCTAACTTCCAAGACTTCAGTTCTGAACTGATCCAGTCTACAGGCTAAATTCTTAACTGGAGCAAGTTATTTATGACCTTTCTTCTCCAATTATATGATTCAGAGTATAAGATGTACTTTTGTTCAGATGTTGTCGGATGGCCAAATCACAGTTATTCCAAAAGAGAACTTGAGGAAAAAAAGTGTGCACAAACCATGGGTTAAAGGGCAGAAAAAGGAACAAGAACAAACAAGGGTTAAACAAGACCTTAAACTGTTTGAAACGCTCTTCCTTTGTAGGACCACTATCTTCATCTTCTGAATCTGATGAAGATTCAGAGAGGTCCCCAGATCCAGGAGCATCTTTTGCCTTATCTGTACAATTCTCATTTTCTACATCCTCGGTAGCCTCAACTGCTTTACCAACATTTCCTTCAGACATTGTTGCAGATGAGACAGGTGCTCCAGAATCATGTAATTTCTTTTTTACTAAATCTAGAGCTGATGAGCCAGACACATTTGGGGTTCTAAGTGATGCAGCATCTCGACCACCATTGCTAATAGCAGGTGCGCTTAGACTTAACTGGTCAGATCCCTTTTCATTTTGTGAATCAGCATTTGGCAGAGATGTCAAACATTCTGCAGACTTCTCTGCTTCCTGTTTCCTTCCTAACTCTGTCACCTCAGCTGGGATCTGCCAGCTGCTTACCTGATTCAAAATTGGAGGATCCATAAAGCCAAATAGATATATGAAAGCACAACCAACAAAACTAGTCTTCTTTTCTATATCTATTTACCTTGCTTTTACTGTTATAGTAATATTTCTTGCCATCATTTGTGGTGACAAGCGCCCAATCTGTTCCAGGCAAGTGCTCCCTGTGCATGAGAAAATACAAGTTTCAGATATATATTTATCTCATAAAATATCCTAGCAGCTGAAACGTGATACAATTGAATATAACAAATATCTTTTAACTTCACAGGAATAAGATCCATAAACGAAAAAATAAAACAGGACAGTCTAAAGAAGAAACATTACATAAAAAAGTTCCAGTAGGAGGCTATCACTAAACATATGACCAAAAGACTAATTTTCTTAGAGAAAAGAAATAAAAATTAAAAAATGATTTCAATCAAAGAACTTACATAGAAACAGGAGTCGGCTGCACTGGAACTTTGTCGGGCTACATATTTAAGAAAAAACATTAGACAAATTATATGTTACTTGAGAACTCTAAGAAAATTTGCATCACATAACCAGCTACTCCCATGTCTACTTCATCAGCCCACAAAATATCTCCTCTTAACTTTTCAAACTTGCAACTATATGACAAGTTAGTAAGTTACCCACATTTGCGATATAAAGAACTTAAGGTGGGTTGTTATAAATCTCCCATGCTCTAACTTCATACTCTAAGGAATCTAAGTAACTTGATATCCTTTGATCACTGTTGAGCCTCACACTCCTAAAGTTCTCAAATTCTGTTGTCACCACTGAAATAGAAAACAATCTACTTCACACACATTAACCATGAAACAGCTTCCACTAACCATAGTTTAACAACTACCAACACATGATCCACCAGGACTTCTAACTATTTGAATAAAGATGTCAGAAATAGAGATCAAGAAAACAAAGTGTTATCTATAATACTGTGACAAATATATAGAGGCTAAATAAGGTTGAGGTTGATGAAACCTTGAGCATCCATGATATCAACTAATGAATATGTCATTATTATTATCGGCTATACATACCTCTCCTTCAAAACCTGGTGGCTTTTCATAAGTTGATTGCCCTGTCAAGGCATTATAATAGTAAACAACTCCAGTTTCAGTTTTGTGTGCAGTCCAATCATTTAACCGTTTCCCTACTTCTTGAGAGTCAACTCTGTTATCTGCAACATATGAATTAACAAAGATAAAGGATATGCCAACATAATATAGTAACCATGAAGGTTAAACAGCTCTTACATGGATCAGTAATCTAGCATGAAACCTCAAGCATACCGATTCCTGAGTGTGCTTCAGTCTTCTGTCCAGGAGCACTAAGTTGATGACCTAGTAAAGCAGGAACAGAGCTAGAGCTTCCCATAGGAGTCATCCCAAGTGGTTGTGAACTAGAAAATGGTAAACTAGGAGGGACTCCACGTACTGGGAATTGGTAAGACCCAGGAAATGGAGTACGATGTGTAAGAAACTGCGACCTAGGCATTACCCCCAGTGGAGGAGGCTGCATCCAGATTCCCGGTGGTGTTCCAGCCATATGGGGCAATGAATGGAATTGCGGGTACATCTGAAGATGAGCAACAGGATTAGCTTGTGGAGGAGCTCCAGACATCCCAGGTCTTGGTGTCGCAGAAGAGAAAGGGGTAGGGATAGGAAACGTATGCGCTGATGACGTCATTAGACCAGGAGGGGCAGGTGCCACAGGTCTAGCAAAAGGCGAATTTGATAGCATTGAGGAAGTTTGAGGTACAGAATTGACATTGGAGGAGGTAGCTGCAGCAGAACTCAAAGGAGCATTAACAGAAGATGGAGCTGCCTGAGAGACAAATGCCGTACCACTAGTCTGCACAGCAGTAGCTGAAGCATCCTGCAACCAGTTGATGGTTCAAATGAAACAGAAAAACAGCTGAATCAGCACGTGATTCACAATAAGGCATTAACCCAATAAAAGTTCAATTCTTCCTATTTCAAAAACCCATTCATATTGTCAGCTCAATCCGAAAGATCGGACAATCAGATACAAAATATTAACACAAACTTCAAATAGCCACTGTACATACTCCTAAGAGAGATGCTGCGTTCAACAAAACTACTGTGCAAAAAAAATCCAATGCGCAAAATATCCTTTTAATAAGAATATGAAAAGTTCCTGCACTGAGTTCTATAGATTAACCACTAGAAAAGCACTAGAATCAACATAAAAGCATCTTCCAGAGTTGCTACAACAAAGTCAATATTATCTAGAACCAGAAGTAGAGAACAGACATACAGACATAGAGGGTTGATCCTTGAGCTCGGACTGAGTGTTACCACCAAAAGAGACACTCGAGGCTAAGACCACACCACTCGAAGAAGACATCAGTGGAGGATGCACAAAGGAATCATGTCCAGAAACCCGAGGTTGTGATGACGCAGCCGTTGAAGGTGACTCTGATGCATTCCCTCCTTGCATCTTTTCAGACGAAACAGCCTGGAACATCATCAAAGTTTCCGAGTCTCCGAGGTTACTTTCCGGTAGCGGAAAAAAATGTTATATTCCTGAACGGTGATCCACACCGGAGTCAATGCCGCGGAATAAAATAAAAAATGCTCGGAATTTCGAACGAAACACACCGATCGAAAGCTTACACCACGATGATTCGAAATATAAAATCAGTTTCGGTTAGACAAGAACCGAAACTTCGGCTAAATCCTCTATTTTACGATTTCAAGACCAACCTGCGGATTTAAACCATCTTTGGAGACACAGAAATCTCAAACGAGTTCTTTCCGACATGGGGTTTAAAGCCCAATGGCCAAGAAGAAGAAGAAAACGAGAGAAAGACTTACCGGCTCGAAGACAGACAACGACGATAAAAGGAAACGGAGGCGACGGAGAAGAAGCGGTGGCGACGGCGGAGGAAAACGGCGAGAGCGAGAGAGAGCTCGGCCGGAGAGTGTTTCACGAACCCTAGCCCAATCAGTCACCCTCTTTCGTTTTTATCATTTTTATTAATTACATAACATATTTCATATTTGTTGTTTGGTCCTCCGATAAACTAATATTCAACGATTCCACCTTAGGTGCTTAACTTCAAAAATATTCATTTCCACCCCAAACTTGAATTTTTTAAACTAACATATTAAGTCATATTATTAAATAAAAAGACGTCTATAAATAAAAGAGAAAACTCCTAAAAATTCATTAACTTGCAATTCGGTGAAAAACTAATTTCTAAATTTATAAAAAAAAACTCTAAAAATTCCTGAAGTTGGAATAATATTAATTCCTAAACTTGTAGAGATGTCTATTAATTACCAAATTTGTAAAATTGAACACGTTAAATAATGAACTTGTCATAATCGTCCATAGCATTACTTGGTCAAAAAAAATGAGTTGACAAATCCGACGTGGCGCGTGACGTGGTGCTAATTTCCTGAGTTGGCTCGCCACGTCACGCGCCACGTCGGATCGGTCAACTCATTTTTTTGACCGAATAACGTTATGGACAATTATGGAACCGTTTAACAAGTTCAGGATTTAACGTGTTCAATTTTGCAAGTTTGAGAATTAATAGACACCTTTACAAATTTAGGAATTAATATTATTCCAAATTACAAGTTTAGGATTTTTGTGAATAAAGTATAACTATCTTTTAATTTCTAAATTGATTATGAATTGTTTTAGAAAAAATTATATTAGAAAGGATATTTCTAAATTAAATATATTTTTTCCTCCCTTGTAATATCTTTTTTCTAAAACAATTCATAATCAATTTAGATTTTGAATATTTGATGGAAAAACTACCATTATTAGATTATTTTCTCTATAACAAAATATAGTTGTTATTATAACAAAATATACTGGTGTGATATTGCATAATTTTTATAACTTTAAAAAACTTCATGTTTCTTCTATTTCGAAATTATTGTAAAAGATTTTAAAATCTGGGCCTAAAATTATATAACTAAAGTCGTTATATATATATATATATATTTATGTGTGTATTTTTACATGATTCAGACTATGTCATAGTTTGACAGTTCACAGTAGCAATACAATTTACTTAGGCTACTCCTCTTCTTCTTGTAATTCGTTATCTTATTTTTTTATATTTTTAGAGAAAAAACTCTAAAAATTTCTGAATTTGTATTTTAGAGTAAAATTAATTCCTAAAATTGTAGAGGTGCCTATTAATTCTCAAACTTGCAAAATTGAACACGTTAAATTTTGAGTTACGGAACGACAGCATGGTCTGCCGTTTCGAAAAGCTCTGAGACACCGGTTGCTTTCTAAAACTCGGTCCGGTATATATATTCGGCGCGGTTTTCATGTCTTATTTTATGCATATCTTATTTTGTGGTAATGGAATTTTATGCATATCTCGGAAGACAATTTCGAGACAATTTAAAAAGGAAAAAAACTCTAAAAGTTCTTAAAAATATTAATTTTTCTAAATATCTTTTTTAATATAATTTTTTCTAAACCAATTCATAATCAATTTAGATTTTAAATATTTGATAGAAAAACTACCACTATTAGATTATTTTCTCTATAACAAAATATAGTTGTTATTATAATAAAATGTACTGGTGTGATATTGTATGTTTTTTATAACTTAAAAAAGTTCATGTTTTCTCTATTTCGAAATTATTGTAAAAAATTTTAAAATCTAGGCCTAAAATTATAAAACTAAAGTCGTTATATATATATATATATATATATATTTGTGTGTGTATTATGTCATGATTTGGCAGTTCACAGTAGCAATAATATTTACTTAAGCTATTCCTCTTCTTGTAATTCGTTATCTTATCTTTTTATTTTTTTAGAGAAAAAATCCTAAAAATTTCTAAACTTATATTTTGGAGTAATATTAATTCCTAAACTTGTAGAGATGCTTAATAATTCCTAAACTTGTAAAATTGAACACGTTAAATCCCGAACTTGTTAAACGGTTCCATAATCGTCCATAGCGTTATTTGGTCAAAAAATGAGTTGACCGATCCGACATGACGCATGACGTGGCGAGCCAACTCAGAAAATTACCGCCACGTCACGCGCCACGTCGGATCGGTCAACTCGTTTTTTTTTACCAAATAACGTTATAGACGATTATGAAATCGTTTAACAAGTTCCGAATTTAACGTGTTCAATTTTGCAAATTAGGGAATTAATAGGCACCTCTACAAGTTTAGGAATTTGTATTACTCCAAATTACAAGTTTAGAAATTTTTGGGTTTTTTTCCAACTTATAAACATTCCTATTTATTCACGAACTTAAAAAATTACACACGATAATTCCTAAACTTGTTTAAAATTGTCATAATCATCCTAACAATAATTTTGACTAAAATAATGTGTTGAACAATACTATGCAAAACCGAGTTTAATAGACACGGTTTAACAAAACCGGTTTGTAATAGTAAAAACTCCAGTTCACCAGAAGATCTGGGATAATGACGGAGATCGAAATAATTATCATCATTGTCGGTTCTCGAGTTCCAGATCTAGATCGAGAGCGTCTCCGGCGAAACATGAGTGTTTGGCGTTGAAGTAACCATCACGAGGCTAGATCTCTTTCATTCCAGATTTTTCGGTGAGAATGGCATCATTCAAGGAAGAGACGCAGCGACCGGAAACGCCATCGATGAACCTAGAAGTACTATGACACCCGTATCCCGCTTTCCGTGAATAGGATGCGCCACATGGATTAAAAACCGATAAAATAATACCAAACCAAAATACAGAAAGTTAAAAAACTTTTATTTCACAAATACGCAACAGAATAGTTTAATACAACCTTTAATTACCACACGTCCGATCTTAAAATACAACACAAAGGAAAACATCGTTTTCCAATTTAACATAAATCAAGTCCGTACGTGATGGTGCCTTCTCTTCAGTCGCTATCCAATTGTTACTCGTACTCCTCGTTACTTGAAAAAGGTTACTCAACTATGACTAAGCACAACTGCTTAATGAATGATTCGGGTTGAACCCGGTAAACCCGTTCCCAGCCAGAACGATAAATCACAAAATACGATATTTTTCATCATGCATATACTCATATCACATCATAATACAATCACAATGTGACAATCCATAATACCGTAGGAGGGCGGAGAGTGATCGCCTGTGCGAGAGGCATGAACAAGGGGTGGCTCCTGACAAGCTTCTGGGATCGAACACACCGGAATGCGAGAGATCCGAGGGTTGTGTAGGTATGGCACTACACAGTCAAAGATAACTTAAATGAATTGATTGAGCTACTCATAGCAACAAGTTGCATCTACCTTTTCAGTTTACTATCTCGAGAGAACTCCAAAGTTAAGCGTGCTTGCTTTGGAATAGTCTTAGGATGGGTGACCTCCTGGAAAGTACTTTTCGGGATGTGTGCGAGTGGGGACAAAACACGCTAAAAGGTCCCGTGTTGGTATGTGGGGACAGCTCTATCATTTCGTAGCGGCCTCGAGTCGTTACACACAATCACGCCCATATGGCTTCACACCATAGGGATAGCCATAAACCCTAGTCATATCGTATGACTAGATACGCCTCACACGCCCGTCATTTCTCTTGATGTTGTCTGTCGCATCCCACGATAATATCGCCTCAAGCGCTTATCACATCACGTGACTACCGATGTCACCTCGCATGACCACAATGGAAATACAACACCATCTTGCCCGTATGGCCTCACACCATAGGGCTAGTCGTAAACCATATTTACATCGCATGACTACGAGCGCCTCACACGACCGTCACATTGCATGCCATTGGGCACGACAACCAAGTATGTATGGTTTCACACCATAAAGTTAGCCGTAAACTCTAGTCATATTGCATCACTGGGAGCGCCTCGCACGTCCGTCACATCGCATGACGTTAGTCGTCGCTTCGCACGACCATCGTTCCCTTATGGCTTCACACCATAGGGTTAGCCATAAACTAGTCACATTGCATGACTAGGAACGTCTCTCATGTCCGTTACATCGCATGGCGTTGGCCGTCGCTTCGCGCGACCATATGCGCCTCACGCGCGTATCACTCCTCGTGACGACCGATGTCACTTTTGAGGTTGAAGAGGAATTGGAGCTCGTCGAAGGAGACAAGAAGAACAAAGCGAAGAAAAAGGAGGAGATGAAGTTTCGTGAGGCCAGAGATATGGTCGGAAGAAGAGGAGGATAGTATAGTGGTTTTCCGGTGGAAGTTTATATATTGGAAAATGTGGGTTTCCGACGAAATGAATTCGATGGAGGAAAGTTAAGAGAGAGAAATTTACCACTCGAAATGAAATGTTCTTCTTCTCTTACGCGGAGAGATCCTGCAACTCAATCGAGCCATAGTGCATAGACGAGGGAGAACAAGTTTTGGATACATGGTTCAGAGACGAAGAAAAAGATGTTGCAGAGGATGACGTTGGGGAGGTCTCTAATTGTGGTGGATGCAATGGAATGAGGAGCTTGTGAGTGGAAAAAAACTTCAGAAAAGCCCCTCTCGCATCACACAGCTTTCTGGTCTACCCCATAAAATATAAGCATTTAGTTAAAGTCCATCTTACCTTTATTCTCCGTACTCACTTCGGCTTGTAATTCGATTCCTCCATTTATGTACTTCCATATTTTCACATTCGTTCAACCCACTTATTTTTATCATTTTATATTTGATTATAACTTAGCACCTTAATATAGTTTGATCCGTTTGATCCTAGAGTCGGGGTTGCAGCCAGTCGATCTAGAAGCAGACCGTCCGGTCTACGCGTGTTGATCAACCGACTTTGTTTTTAATCCTAGATCGATCGGTTTGGGTGTGGACCGGTCGGTCCAGCTCATTTCGGACCGTTCGTTTCTGTCTGTGGCCCAGACCGGTCGGTCCAGTTCTGGACCAGTCGATCTGGGATCTGCTGGACCGGTCAATCCATCTCATTTCAGACCGTTCGTTCTATCTGTGGCCCAGGCCGGTCGGTTCAGTCCTGG